GGGAGTTGAAGTCCACTCATCTTAAAGTGGCCAAGTTTGGACAACACTGCTTTAGACAATCTCTCCTGTGCCTGACCCAGAGTGGAGAGATTGGAAAGGAAGGGATTACAAGAGAGTAAGCAGGCACACAATCAGAAATACACCGGCTGTTTGCCTAGTGCTGTTTGTATTTGCATTTACTGGAGAGGAAGGGATTACAAGACAGCAAGCAGGCACACAATGGGTTATATACATCAAAAGGAACACAATGGCACTGGCAGCCCTGAGTGTGCTAGGCAAACAGCCAGTGTATTCCTCATTGTGCACCTGTTTACTCTTTTGTAATCCTTCCTCTCCAATAAATGTAAATACAAACATTAATTCCCTTCTTGCTAATTATCCCAGCACCAGGGTGAGCATTCCAAAGGGCAGGGGAGTGGTTAGGAGGCAAACAAAAGCCAAAGGTGTGAAACTGATTAGTCTTATCCGTTACAGGCAGCAACTATGAGCCAGCTATCCCAGTGCCAGAGTGAGCATTCCAAAGGGCAAGAGAGTGGGGAAAAGAAAAGCACAGTCACTGTGATGTGATTTCCCATTTAGCAACTGCTTCACTTAACACCAGAGCTGTTGGTCCCAATTTTGGTTGCTAAATGAGGACTACCTGTATATATTTGACTTGTCTAACAAAATCTGCATGCAATGTTCCAACATCTTTTATCTCTAAACAATTCAAGCACCATAATTACTTGACCTATGTAACATAATGTGCTTGGAATCCTTTTTTTTTTTAATCAATATAATCATGATGGAGGATAAACAATAACAAAAATAGTGTAAATATTAACCATTTTAATGTGATCCCATAATGATCTTTTAAATCTTCTATGTTTTGTTAAATTCACATACAAATTTCACTTGGTTTCCAAATAATTTTTAAAATGATGATTTGTTTTACTTATTCAATTATATGGAGCCCTGGGGCTTCCCTAGCTTGAAATTATCAAGTATGCATAACTAAAAAGCTTGCATATGCAGCAGGTGTGCCCTAGATTTGAGACTTCTCTGCATATATTCTCATGACTATTGTTTGAGAAGCTGCTGTTAAAAATCATCTTATTTCTTAGCAGAAAATGTATTTATTGCTGGACTAGCAAATAAATTTCCAACAAATTTATTGCTGAACTAGCTTCCACATAATCTTCAATTCCTGGTCAGAATTGAGTATTTGGTGAATTACTTCTCTGTAATCCACTAAATTGTTTCCTTTTATTTTTTTCCCGCTCAGGAAAAACCTTTCCTCAAAAAACTGTATTAAATTACAGGTTTTAATTCCCTTACAGATTGTCAGATAGTTATTAGCTTCTGTGCAAGCAAACAGAACTAATTGATTATACAAAATAGCTGTATGTAGGCCTAGAACAACTATTTTGCTATGTAAACCACAGATCCTGCTGTCCAGTAATTATCCATGCATTTTCTTGTGTGAAAGAATGAGTCAGTCCTTTTCCTCAGGCCAGGTTTCCTTAAAATACTCTGCAACTCAGTTAATAGTCTCATGACTTTTTCTTCATTTAGATATTAGTACATTCTTGGACCCCAAAATCTTTTTGTACAGAAATAATTTTTGTGAGCATTTGTACATTTGCTTAGTCCATTTTAGGAGACTGACTGGGGACATATAACCAGATGCTGATACACAGAAAAATATGCAAGGTATTTTATTACAGAGCTATTGTCTATTATCTAGGCCAGATTGTATGCACCGGCTTCCTAGCATGAAAGGTGCAGAAAATTCTCAACTTGTGTTGTGTAATTTCCTTTTCCCAGGATATATTTAGAACAGGTTTCTTGCTGATGCTGGGGTTGTCGTCTCATCTTTTTTTATTAAACTTTTTTTAAAAGAATATAAAGCATGAATCATGAATGACATACAAAAAGAATAAGAGCATAAAATATAATGGTGGAGTACAAGTGAGTAAGCATGGGATCTAGAATGTCATGCAGGTTACATGTTTTCAATATATCATTAGTTGCTTATAAAGTAATGACATAAGTTATATTACTTTTTAAAAGAGAGTTTAAAAATCACCATTAAGCTTTAAACCCCCTTTAAAAAAGTACATCAGGAATGAGCAACCCATGGCTTATCCTGTGGATCACATGCAGCTTTCCAGAACAGCCTGCTCCCACTGTGTGCCCCAGAAAGCATATGACAATTATTAGTAATGTGTTCTTTTTTTCCTTTTTTTTTTTTTTGCCATTTTTAATCCAAAAAATAAAATGGGTAAAAATGGGTATGGTTAAGATTACAAGAAGTAAAATGTATCCATGTCCACTTTTAACAACTTGAATCAAAAAGAGGTTAGAGATTTTCAGTCTTGTCTAACCAGTAATGTCACTGATCATTTCCACCCTCCCCAAAGAGAAGAAATCCATCCCCCAAAGTTGCCCACCTTTGTATTAAATATACAAAAGGAACAAAAAATGTGGGCAGCACCAGCATAAAATAAGCAGAGGGAAGGAAGTAGCATGTATAAATGATTGTTTAAGAAGAAACAGGGAGTTTCAGACTAAACTTTCTTCACAGGCTATTATTTCTTCAAACTACTATGTGAGAAAAATCTTTATATCAATTCCAGTGAAATGTGTTTGGCTTGATATTAAAACATTTTTCTTCCTGGTACTAAATGAGACACAGCAAGCCCAGCAAATATAGAGTGACCGTAGCTTAGTGCAACAGAGAGAATGAGAAGGATCTGCTTAGGCTAAAATATAAATTCCATGAGCAGGAAGGATACTTTATGAGGTGATACAGAGATAAGTATAAAAGAATTTGGAGTTCTTGTCTATAAACTAGACAATGTTAAAAGGAATGGTCTTTTGAGAACCTGGAACTAGGTTCTCAAGAGAAGACTGAATCGTTGTTGATATGCTAATTTTCCCACTTTTCAGGAAAAGCACTCTGAAGTGCTTGGTGAGGTGAGGAATTTAAGATTAGTGGTCTTGGGGAATTTGATGAGGCCAACCTTGTTAGGAGAGATTTGGGCTTCATGGTCTCCAGAATTGGGCCTATCTCAATTAATATATGGCACAACACATACTTTGGACTTGTATTCTGAACAAGACTAAAAGATACTGATCTCTATATCAAAATACTCTATTGCATTACTGAATACATTAGTTTTGACCTACTGGTTGTCAGGAAGAATGACTTCAAAAATTTCTGCTAGTTTAGTTGAAAGCTCTGTTGAAGCTCTGACCTCTGCCTAACATCAAGGATTACTTACGCCATCACTAAAACCACTCCCAGCATCCTTATCCATCTTATAGCATCCTGTCAGCTTTTTGATACTGAGAAATTAAGGGAAATTTAGTGACAGAGTTGATGTCTGGACAACATGATGAAGCCTGCTATGAATACAAAAAGATAGTTAAGAATCCATTTGCAAACTTATTCTGTAGCA